TTTTTTAGATATTAGATATTTAATTTTTTGAAAATATACGCAATTGAAAATAATTGAATTAAATAAAATTTTAAAAAGAAACTCTAAGAATTTCTTTTTAAAAGAATAATTTAATATCAATTTTTGAAACTAATTTCCATTAATTTACATTTTCAAATTTTTATTTGCAGACTTTTCATTAAAATTTTTGAGAATTTAATTATTTTCAGAGTTATCTATAGAAATTCTTCTTCAGATTTTTGACTTTCAAAAATTTTAATTTCAATTATTTTCAATCAAATTTTGCAAAATTTCAATTATTTAAAAACTTTTTAATTATACATTTCTGATAATTATTTTATTATTAATTATTTTGAACTAGAAAAATTATTAATTATAATCTTAATTATCTTAAAAAAATTATTTAACAATAATTTTTTGAAGATTTGACTATTGTTATTTTTCTCAGTATCAAAATTGAAATAAGTTGTATTTTATACTCAAAAAGAGTAGTATTTTGTTGCAATATTTGGACGAAAACACGAAATGGTCGCATTATTTGTAAATAAGTCGAAAAAAACCCTTTTTTGAAAGTAGTAAAATAAAAATCGAATCGAAATAAATCCGAAGTCATATACAATGAAAAAAAATGTATTTAATTTGATTTGAAAAATTTATTGATCCTTAACCGATTACTTGACTATTATTCATTAAATATTTACTTGAATGAAATAATTTTTATTAAAGTCAATTAAAGTCAATTAATGAAATTAAATTATTTGCTGCAATTACTGAAATGATTAATTCAAATACCATTTAATTAATTTAAAAATAAATTATTTGATTCAAGTAAATATTAATTTGATAATATACAAGTAATCGATTATTTAAATCAAATAATTTTTTTTTTCAGTTTATCCGAGACCTGACATAAATAAACTGTGAAAGTGATGAAACTTTAAGTGACGAAAAAACGGGGCATAAAATTACTTCCACATTGAAGCATATATAATACACTTGAGGCACTTTTTCTCAAAGTAAACTTGGATAACAATAAACTTTTTTTTTATTATAATACTGTTATAAGATTTAAGTTCGTTCGGGGTCGCAAATTCATGTGTTTACCCTGTCAGAAGATTTTCTCACGAACTAGAATTATTTGCAGGGGAAGACAATTCGTGTAGGAGGGTGATATATAATATAATTTATAGGGTTGATCTGCTGGCCACCAAGTGGCAACATCAATGGAAGAGGAAGGTCGTACAGTGGAACGAAAAGAGCCACTCAAATGTTTATACTCTTGGTTAAAATCACACCAAAATCTTTCCCTTAATCGACTACTTTTATATCGAGTAGGGACTCGAAATGTCAAGAATAAAGAGAGATAAATGCATAATATATAATACCTAATACGATGTGCATTCTTTTTTATATTGTTTGTTTAAGATTTAGTAAATGTAATTCTATTTGAAACATTGTCAAATAGAATATAAGAAAACCGTCAAATATACTAAAAGAGTCGTAAAAAAATGATTCAAAAACATACCCAACATTGTGTCAAAATAGACTAACCTTTAAGAATAAGATCCTTCGCAATCCTTCCGGTAAACATCCAAATTTGACAAACCATTCTTTCCTGACGTGGAACTTTCTCTTTCCTGACGAACTCTGGAATTAAAAAAATTAGTAAACATTGATTCAACGTACAAAAGGATAAAATATTCATAAAATCTTATTTTATGAATATTTAAGAAACAATATTTATTTTCAAAAAGATTGTAACGTTTAAATGAGTGACATTTATTTTCTATTCAAATATTTTTGAAAAATACTAAAAAAAAAGAAAAATAATTAAAATTAAATATTTGAAGACTAATTTTTCTACTTTGCAAAATAATTATTTTTATGCAAAAAATACAAATTATATTAAATCTTCTATCAATAAAAAACAAAGTAGGGAACATAACCGAAAGTTTAACAAACGTGAATGAATGAAATTTATTTTCTTTTCGAATATTTTTGGAAATAAAAAAATTAAAAATAATACAAATTAAATATTTACTTAGACAAAAATTATTCTTTTTACTATGCAAAGTAATTTTTTTAATAAAGAAAATGCAGATTAAATTAAATATTCTGTCAATAAAAAATAAATTAGCGACCATAGCAGAATATAACCTAAAGTTGTGAACGTGAATGAATGAAATTTATTTTCTATTCGAATATTTTTGAAAATAGAAAAATTAAAAATAATAAAAATTAAATATTTACTTAGACAAAAATTAATTTTTCTACTGTGTAAAATAATTTTTTTAATAAAGAAAATACAAATTAAATTAAATCTTCTATTAATAAAAAACAAATTAGCAAACATATTTCGATAATTTATTTTTTATTGACAAAAGATTTAATTTAATTTGCATTTTCTTTATTAAAAAAATTATTTTACACAATAGAAAAATTAATTTTTAAATATTTAATTTTAATTATCTTTCTTTTTTTGTTTGGTAATTTTCAAAAATATTCGAATAGAAAATAAATTTTATTCATTCACGTTACTAAATATAATTTATTTTCTATTCGAATATTTTTGAAAATTATACCAAACAAAAATGAAAGAAAATTAAAATTGAATATTTAAAAATTGATTTTTCTACTGTGTAAAATAATTTTTCTTTTTAAAAAAAATACAAATTATATTAAATCTTCTCTGTAAATAAAAAAACAAATTAGAGAACATAACAGAAAATAACCTAAAATTTAACAAACTTTTGTAAATGATGTAATTGTTTTTTTACTTTTCGTCAAATTCTTTCTTAAATCTGTCTTTCAATTAATTAATATTAATAAGCAATTTTTCTTTTGAAAATAAGAAAAAACCTTTAAAGAATGTAAATTTACCATAAAAAAAGAAAAAACAATAAAGTACAATATTTTAAACATTAATAATTAAATTTATTGATGATATTTACCTAATTTGTTGGTCTTGACCAAAAAGTCGATTTTTCGTTTTAATCTCATGACTTTCTTGAAGATTGTCGACTTCGAATTAAAATCACATGTGAAAAAGTTTGAAAGTTTATTCTTCTAGGAGCTCCACATTATTTATTTTTTGGAAATCATAATCTCTTGATTTTTATTAGAATTTACGAACAAAGCTGAAAAAGAAAATATTTTTTTCCATCAAAACCGACAAAAATAAAAATTATAAATTTAGATTTTAGTATAGAAAAAAATTTTCACATTAATTAAAAATAATTATTTACTGTAATTCGACATTGATTCTTTTTTTTGAGGTTATATTACTATTTGTCTGATTCGTCTTTGTTCATTTAAAACGTCTTTCATAAAATACAAACAACTTAAACACAAACTCAAAATATTGAATGTAACCTAACCTCACTTTTGCTCCCATTGGGAAATTGTGCTAAAAAAACGACAAAAATAAAATTCATGAAATTATAAATTTAAACTTTAATAGGAATATATTTTCCAACTATTTAAAAATAATTATTTATTGTAGTCAGTTATTTTTTTATTTGAAGTTATATTGTTGTTTTTTTATATTTCGAACGTTTATAACTGAAACCGAAAATAAAAAATATTGAAAGTTATCTAACCTCACCTTTGCGCATGTGAATATCACATTACAAAAGGGGGAAGGGGAGGGGGAAGAAATTTGTAACAATTTACAGAAAAAATTATCGTTATTTATGCAATATTGTGTAACAATGGGAATGGGTGGGAGGGAAATCAATATTTTCCGACAAAAAATCAATAATTTGGGGGGGGAGAAATTTGTAACAATTTACAGAAAAAATTGTCGTTATTTATATGCAATATTGTGTAACAATGCGAATGAGCGGGAGGGAAATCAATATTTTCCGACAGAAAATCAATAAAGATGAAAGTTAATACTTCCGACTTTATGAATTCAGAAAACGAAATTTATTTTTTGTAACTTACCATTGAATCTGCGAACTCCATGACAAAGCAGCCGACAATCTCCTTCTGTTGAGTCGAGGTCTTCAGGAACCTCGCCAATAATAGAAAAGACGAACTGCAAAAGAAAAAAATTACATGCGTATTAGAAGGCCGCCATTTTGTTTCATTGATGTTAGCATGGCGACTTTTGTCTTTTTGCCACAAGACAAAAATTACCTGCTAATTGCATTATTACTATTCAGAATCATGCATTGTTTCTCAAAAGATGATTACTTTAACTCTAGTAACGATTAACAATGAATTTACATCAATTTTCGAAGTGTAAAAATCATGCACAATGGACAAAGGGCAATGACCTCGTCCAACATTTCCGTTAGCAATCGGCAAATTTTAGTTACAATCATCAGTAAATATTATTTAAAAATGCACAGGGAACAATTAAAAGATGAAATTTCAACAATACAAGTTAAAAAATATGAAAAAACTTACTCTTTATTCTGAAAATATGGACACACGCAACTAGTTCACTTTCCCATGTATGACCGCCATGACACTGAAAAAATGGAGAGCTATTATAGTGGGGGAAGGCGCTGGGTCGTCAAATAACTGATTGTAATTAACTACTAAATATTAAGTCTTAAACAATTTCTAAATTACCTTTTCGATTTTAGACATCTTTCATATTCGTTTTTTATCACTTTAATAAAATTTATACAAATATCCACTGTTAAGTTGACTTTGACCGTTACAACAGTCTCTACTTCCGGTCGAGCAAAACTATTACCATTACTTTTGTCCACCAATAAGAAAGCTAGTTTTTTTAGCAATACCAACCTAAGAAAATTTTTTACAGTTGTCTATCCTGTGAAGTGAATTTCTATCAGGTGGTAATTTCTGTTATTGTTTTAACGTTTGAGGAGTGTTTTTTTCCTCCTGCCGAACTAAAAGATAATCTGGAAATTATTTAAGGCTGATTTAACTACAAATTACTATTATTAGAAAATAATTAGTTATTTGACTCCAAAAAAGGGGCCCCTCCCCGCGCAGTCCGTACCTGCGCACCCCTTCTTTTTAGTGTCATGGCGGCCATACATGGGAAGGTGAACAATTCGTGGCGTCTGCCAAAATTTTTGGAGTAAAGTGTAAGTTTTTTTCACATTTTCTAACTCATATTGTTGAAATTTCATCTTTTAATTGTTCCTTGTGCATGTTGGAATAATATTTTCTGAAGATTGTAACTAAAATTTGTCGATTGCTAACTAAAATGTGTGGGCGAGGTCATTGCCCTTTGTCCACTGTGCATGATTTTTACACATCGAATATTGATGTTAATACATTGTTAATCTTAACTGGAGTTAAAATAATCATCTTTTGAGCAACAATGCACGTTTCTGAATAGTAATTGTGTAATTAGCATGTAATTTTTGTCTTGTGGCAAAACGACAAAAGTTGCCATGCTAACACCAATGAAACAAAATGGCGGCCGTCTAATACGCATATAATTTTTTTCTTTTGCAGTTTGTCTTTTCAATTGTTGGCGAGGTTCATGAAGACCTCGACTCAACAGAAGGAGATTGTCGGATGCATTTGTTTGGGGTTCGCTGATTCAATGGTAAGTTACAAAAAATAAATTTCGTTTTCTGAATTCATAAAGTCGGAAGTATTAACTTTCATCTTTATTGATTTTCTGTCGGAAAATATTGATTTCCCTCCCACTCATTCTCATTGTTACACAATATTGCATAAATAACGACAATTTTTTTTTGTAAATTGTTACAAATCCCCCCCCCCCTCCCCCCTTTTGTCATGAAATGTGATATTCACGTGCGCAAAAGTGAGGTTAGGTAACTTACAATATTTTTTTAGTTTCGGTTTCAGTTAAATGTTCGTAATTTAAAGAAACAATAATATAACCTTAAATAAGAAAAATAACTCACTACAATAAAAAATTGTTTTTAAATAATTGGAAAATATTTTCCTATTAAAGTTTAAATTCATATTTTCCTTAATTTTATTTTTGTCGTTTTTAGTACAAAAAATAATTTCTTTTTCAGCTTTGTTAATTGGATTCTCGGCAAAGTAAAAATTGATTTCCAAAAAATAAATAAAGTGGAAATTCTGAAAGAATTTTTGAATTCTTCGCCAATTAACAATTAATTTTAATTCGAGAAGGAAAAAAGAACCTGATGGAAACTTGGGCGATTTGTACAGAAAATCGCCTTCTTGGTCAAGACGAGCTCACGGATTCCTACCATCAAAAAAATTTCATGGTGTTTTCCAAACAACAATCGAAGTCAATCGACCTGAAGAATTAATTTTTGAATTCTTCGCCATTCAATTTTTTTTCTAAACCTGATGGACAATCTCCTAGAAATTCAAGAGTTTTTTATAGAGGAAATTTCCTTAATTGTCAAAAGAGGCTAATTTGGTAAATATTTACAAAACATTTACTTAAAAAAATTGAAAAAAATGGATCTTTTTTCTGGTTTGTATAATAAAGTTTTATTTTCAGGGGACGAAAAAGACAATGAGAGTTACAACTCTACAGAAAATGAAAAAAATATTGAAAAATTAAATTTAAAAAAAAAACAAGGAAACACTTTCGTAATATCAGCCACAAGTATTCCTTAAGCGAAGTCGATCGCCACGAAGGATTGTCAACAATTTCGAATCGAAGTCCAAATAACTAAAAAATTTCTTACGTGGAAAATCATCTCGACTGTCAAATCAGACCATATTAGTAAATATGAATAATAAATTTGATAAAAAAATTGTAATTAAATAAAAAATTACAATTCTCTCTAAATTTGAATTAGTAAAAATGTTTACTAATTTTAATTAGTGACTGACTTTTTGCTTCTGAATTAGTAAATTTTAATAATAAATAGTAATGTATACTAATTTATTAGTACAATTTACTAATTCAAAAGCAAAAAGTCAGTCACTAATTCAAATTAGTAAACATTTTTACTAATTCAAATTTAGAGAGTGTTAAGTAATTAAAAAGTTAAGTAATTTTTTCGTTTTGTAATAAAGTGCAATTTTTTCAGCATTGACGGAAGGAAGGCCAAAGTCGTAACGAGATGAGAAAAATCATTGAATGCGAATTCAAAATGAAAATGGGACAGCAATTTGGAAAGAAGAGACACAAGTGCGATTCACCAGCGCTTACGAAGGAAGAAACACAAATACGATTCACCAGCTGTCTCACGAGAAAGAAATGGATTGTCAGCACTTTCAAGTCAATCCGGATTTGGAAAGAGAATAGTCATTGACTATTCTTGACTTTTACGCATAAAAAGTCATTTCTACTATCAAATCTGGTTATTTTGGTAAGCATTAATAATTAAAATAATTATTCAATTATAATCAGGGACGAATGATGAAACGGGACTAAATAACAAATTTAAGTTCAATTTAGATTCGTATCGCCCCGAAACTAAATTAATAAAATTAATTTAGTTTTATGTCAGCGACACGAAACTAAATTTATTTTTTTAATTTAGTTCCAAGTCGACACGAAACTAAACTCAGAATAATTTTATATATAAGTATTTCAAAATTAATTCAAATTCAAAAGAGTTTCGTTTACAATTTTAACAAATAGCTGAACTTCAAAAGAGTTACAGTTTGAAATTTTATAAAATTTCAATTTTGAATTAAATTAATTTAATTTGAAATTTGAAAGAACTTAAATGATTAAAAATTTGTATAATTCTAACTCTTCTGAAATAAGTTAAATTTTGCAAATTTAATTAATTTTTAAAAATAATGGATTTATAGAATAATTTTAGTTAACACTTTAAAAAAATGGAATTTTGGAGAAGTTACAAATGATTGAAAAAATTCAATTATTTGCAAAAGTAATAAAATTCTACGTAGAAATTCAAATTTTGTTTACAAATTTTTTTATATTCTCATAAAAATGGCAATTATCTTTATGAATAATAAAATTCTTTTCCTAAATTCAAAAATTTTAATAAAATTTTTCACAAAATTTAAAGTACTTTCTTTTGATAAATATTTTAGATAAATTCAATTAGTTTAAATTTAATTTTAATAAAATCTTCACAGAAATTCAATTATTTTCATTAATAATAACATTTTCAGAGGAATTGAATTATTTGAGATTCAATTTTTATTAAATTTTTTCGAAAAAATTCAATTGTTTAAAAGAATTTTTATAAAATTCTACATGTGAATTCAATAATTATTTTCAGTGCAATTTTAATAAAATTTCTTGAAAGAACTCAATTATTTTTAAAAAATTTAATGCAATTCTTCAGAATTACATAGATTCAAAAATTTAATAATTTTCACATAACTTCAATTATTTAAAACATAATTTTAAAATTATGTTTTAAAATTATAAAAATTCCATTATTTTCAAAAATAATAAAATACTTCAGATAAATTCAATTATTTTCATTATTAATAAAATTTTTACGAGAATTCAATTATTTAAAATATAATTTCCATAACATTCTTCGAACAAAATCAGTTATTTAAAACATTTTCTATAAAATATCTTATAAAATTTTTTATAATATTCTCTGCAAGAATTAAATTACTTTTGTGAACAGTAAAACTTATTGCAGGTATTTTATTATTTTTAATAGGATTTTAAATAAATTCCCCGAAAAATGCAATTATTCTTAAAAATTTTATTAAAATTCTTTGAAAGTATTCAATTATTTTAAGAAATTTTGACAAAATTCTTTATGAGAATTTAATTTTAAGAAATATTAAATTACTTAGGAAATTATTTATTTTTGTATTTAAATATTTGAATTGTAGAATTTTCTAAGATCGAAATTTCGTAAAATTGAATTCTATAATTAACAGTCAGGGAATGTCAAAGAATTTCATTCAAAGTCAGAGAAATTTCTATAAAAATTCAAATTTTTTGTTAATTAAAAATTTTTTGAATCTAACAAATCTTAAAAGATTTTTATTGCCGTTTGTTTCTATCATTAGATATTAATTTATTGTTAAATATGTCAGTTACCATATTTTTGTCCCAAGAAAGCAGAAATAAAATTAGTAAAAAGTCAGGGAATTTTTTTCTCAAAATTATTAAAAATAATGCATTTATAGAAGAATTTTAGGTAAAAACGCAAAACAAAAATTTAATTTTTGGAAAATTACAAATTATTGCAGAAATTCCATTATTATTTTCAAGTCATAATATTCTTCGCAAAAATTAAATACTGTTCAAAAATAATAAAATTCTTCTTAGGGATTCAATTATTTTCACAAATAATAAAATTCTTCTTATGGATAATGATTTTATTACTCGGTTATATTTAATTATTACAAAACATAAAAAAGCATATTCTCCTGTTTTATAATAATATTCTTATAAGTTATTGAATTTCAGAAGGTTTGAATTAAAATTTTTGAAAGTCTTAATTCCTATGGAAAAATAATACTGATGAAATATTTATTAAAAAAGCAGTTATTGTTGTTTTCGAATAATTTTACAATTAAAGAAATTCGTAAATAATTGTAATAGAACATTTTTTTGAGTATCTAATCATTTTTAGAGTGAATAAAAAATATTCTTTATGGTCAGGGAAAAAATTAAATTTTTGTGGCAACCCTGTCAGTTTGCTAATGTATAGTTTTTTCTATTAACCCAAAAAACTAAAACGTAATTAAACTTTCGTAATGGTCCCTGATTATAATTGAATGAAAAATTACAATATGTATAAATTATTTTCGTGTTTTTTGGTTTTCTAATAAAGTGCAATTTTTTTCAGGAGCAAAAACAGAAAATGCAAAGTATGCAAATTACAAATCTGAATGAACAAGTAGATTTGTAAATAGAGACACAAATACGATTTTCCACCGGCTTCACCAGAGTAAATCGTGAAGAATACTATACTGAAAATAGTTAATTTGGATTTTGAAAGACAATGAGTCAGTGACTTGAAATTAAAAGTCTATTCGAGTCAAAGTAAATCGCCAGTAGATTCATGAAAAATAGTTCGAGTCAGTGCGGGTTTTTTTTTAAGTAAAATAGTCGTTGTTTTAGTATTAGAGTCAGTGCGGGTTATTAAATATTAATCTTGTTAAAATTAATTTGTCAAATTTTTAAAATCTCGATTCAGTGTGATAGGGAAATGTGTGAACTCGAATGGATTACAAGACGTCTCGCAATCTCGACTGAAGACCGGATTGGACAGTTGGATCATCTACTTGCAAAGGTCAGTCGATATTCCATTGTAATAATCTGGTATCGGTGAGTCCCTCCTGTCTCCAAAGATTTTTATTGGAACAGGTTGTATATAAATTTAAAAAATTTCTCGCAATTATTACCAAATGAGTCGATAGTGAAAAAGTAATGATTTAAAAAAATGGTAATTTCATTTCATGAGCTGCCACCTCGATAGAAGGGAGTAAATTGGTAGTTTAGTATTGTTATACCTTTCGAGTAAATAAATTCTCTTTCGAGGGAGTAAAAGCGTCGAGGGGGATATTGAATTTAATCTGGAACATGAAAGACGGAAAATTGAAATGCATCTTGTCCTTTATCGCCAAACGCTTGTATATGAGTGGTAACCAGAAGCGGATTGGTTGTGGTTTGAAATTGGCTTGAGCGCGAAAACGACGACGTTAAACTTTGATGGCAAATAACGACTTCCCAAAGTACTGTGCCAGCCTGTGTGCACTAACCATATAAGTGGTTATATCCTCTTCCACACACTCAGTATAAGGAATACGAAATAATTGGCAGATCGGCACTTTACTACCTCTTGACATGAATTAACGATGGCGAATCATACCTTTAGTATTTAACCAGCGAAAGTAATTAAAAAAATAGCCTTTCGCATTTATCGCATTTATTATATGCATACGAAAACAAAAATTTATCTATAAATTTTGCATGATCGTTAAATTTGGACAAAAATGAGTTTTTTCATTTTTTAAACATATTTAAATCTCGATTTAAATTTAACTAATCAAAATTAGTGCGAAGCTTGAGCTACGCACAAATTTTGATAAGTTGAATTTCAAATGGTTTGAAATAGTTTTTTTAAATTAAAAGTAACAAGTACGAATCTACTTTTTTGCGATTAGCTACAATTTGGATAATTTTTTTAAATTTGTGACACTAAAAGGAAAAATTTTGAAAATTTGCACTACAGTTGAAACACAAAAATTAATCTAAAAAATTTGAATAAAATTCTTCTTAGAAAGAATTTAAACTTATTATTATATAATTATTTTCACAAATAATAAAATTCTTGGCTGAAATTTAAATATTCTCTAAATCTGCTATTTTAATAAAAATTCTTAAGCAATTATTTTTAAAATAGTTAATAAAATTCTTCGCAAAATTCAATTCGAAAAAAAAAATTTCACAAAAAATCCAATTATTTGAAATACAATTTTCAAGAAAATTTGTAATACAAAAATCAATTATTTAAAATATTTTAATAAAATATTTTGAAAGAAATTAATTACTTTCATAAATAATAAAAATCGACGCAAGAATTCAATTATTTTTAATACAATTTTAATTGAATTATTCGAAATAATTGTATTATTCTTTCAAATTTTTATAAAATTCATCAAAAAATTCAATTATCTGAAATATTTCAATAAAATAGTTTAAAATAAATAAATTATTTTTTTAAATTTTACTAATATTTTATTTGCTTATATGAATTCAATTATTTTCATAAATAATAAAATTCATCACAAGAATTCAATTATTTTTAATATAATTTTAATTAAATTATTCAAAATAATTGAACTATATGGTTTTAAATTTTCATAAAATTCTTCAAAAATATTCAATTATTTTTACAAATAACCAAATTTTTCATAGAATTCAATTATTTTAAAAAAATGTAATAAAATTCGTTTCAAGAATTCAATTATTTTCATAAATATAACAAAATTTTTCATAGAATAATTCAATTATTTAAAAAAAATTTAATCAAATTCGTTTCAAGAATTCAATTATTTTCGTAAATAATAAAATTCATTAGAAGAATTCAATTATTTTTAATACAATTTTCATTAAATTATTCGAAATAATTGAATTATGGTTTTAAATTTTAATAAAATTCTTCAAAAAATTCAATTATTTTTACAAATAATTGAATTTTCATAGAATTCAATTATTTTTAAAAAAGGTTATAAAATTCGTTGGAATAATTCAACTATTTTCAAAAATAATAAAATCCTTTAGATGATTTTTATTATTTTTAATACAATTTTGAATGAATTTCTCGAAAAATGTAATTATTTTCAAAATTTTTATTAAAATTCTTTGAAAGAAATAAATTATTTTCAAAAATGTCACAAAATTTTTTAAAAGTATTAAATTTTAAGAAATAATTAATTATTCTATTAATTATTTATTACTGTATTTGAATAATTGAATTCTTGTAGAACTTACTAATGAGAATTGATTTAAAATTTAATTTCAGTAAATATTTTATAGATTATAATTGAATATTAAACGCGTTATATTATAAATTTTGAAAAATAGTTAAATTTCAAGAAGATTTTACATTAAAATTATTAAAAATATTAATTCTTGTAGAAAAATAAATAATTATTTATATAAAATAATTATTTATATATTTATTGAACAAAAATGATTGTGGATAATTTAATTTGAAAATTATGAAGAAAAATTAGTATTTTGAAAAATTTTAGTTAAAATTTTGGAATATATTTAAATTCTGCTAAAAATTAAAAATATTTATTTAAATTTCCAATTCGGTATTTGTAACTTTTATCAAATTTAAATTAAATTAATTTTATTATTTAAAGAATTTTAGAGAATTTTATTATTTTACTTTCAAAAATTATTTTTAAATAAATAATCGTATTTTTGAAGAAATTTAAATTAAGATTTAGAAAATAACTTAAAGCAAAAATTTAAAATTGAAATTTAATAATTCGCGAAATTTAATTTATCGATAGCTACTTTTTTTACCACTTTTTTCAGTCTTAAAGCTACTTTTTTAAAATTAATTATTGAGTGCAAAGTCTGTAATTATTTAGCTTGTTAAATTCGCCGTGAATTCGCAATAAATTTACCGTAAAGTTAACAATAAAAGTGTTGAATAATTTTGCGCACAAATAAATATAATTTCGTTGGGAAAAAAATTATACATGAAAATAAAATTGAAATTTATTTATTCTGTGAGCGAGGAAATAACGAATGTCAACTGTAGTGTAAATTTGAAATTGTCCATTTTTTTCGTGCATATTTTAATGTGTTGGTGATAAAAGTTATTACATTAACGATCGTGACACTTGTACAGAGTAGTATATAGGGTATGAGTAGGTCGCGAGCTGGATTTTCAACAGATTTTAATAAGGGTGAATAATTCGCGAACGAGCTGGATGAATGACATTAAATTATGCCAAGAAGCGTGAAGGGTAGAAAAGTAAGTTGGGTGGAGGTGGAGAGTATAGCAAGCCGCATCTGTGGCCCTGTCGAGGGTGTAAATGTTTATGGGAGAGACGGGGGGTTTCTAGCATCTCACTTTCTAACATCCCTGCCCTCTCCGCACTCCTCTCTTTTCTTCTCTCGCCGCTTACTTAGTGAGTAAGTTTATTGCGTGGCAATTTGCTTATTAACTCGCCGTTAGTCTCGCCTGGCTCGCTTGTGCGTCGATTAATTAATAGATGCAGCGCCAGATGTAGGTACGCCTTTCAATTCCCCTAAAATGGTTACAAAGAGTTTAGATCGACATTATTCCTCGTCCAAGATTTACCTTATTAGTAATAGCGTAATTGTTTCGGAACATGAAACATTAATTCTTCTCTGCTAAATCAGTGTTTCTTCAAATGATGAAAAGCCTCTAAATCGTGGAATTGGTAGGGAATTGTTTGGTTGGTGCGAATTTGGTTCATTGAATCATGAAAATCTTATAGAAATTCTGATTATGGAAATATTAAATCCAATTTATATTTAGACGAATTTTTACTTTCAAAAAATATTTTATTAGCTGATTTCTTGTTTAAGAGAATTTTGTGTTTCGTCTACAATTTTTGCAGCAAATTATCTAGTTCTCAGGGCTCAGTCTATAGGTCCCTAAATTTTCTTGAAGTCCGTAAAGTTCATTTTTTTTAAAAAAGGTCCGTAAAGAGGACGAAAGTCTTCGCAAAAATTTAATTATATTCAAAAAGTTTCTTTAAAATTTCAATTATTTTTAGAAATAATTAAATTCTTCTCAGAAATTTAATTATTTTTAAAAAATTTAATAAAATTCTTGGCAAAATTTCAATTATTTTCAAAAATTTTCCTAAATTCAATGATTTTTAATAACTACTATTTTATAAAATTTTCCAAAAGAATTCAATTATTTAAAAAAGTAATAAAATTCTTCGCAAAAATTCAATTATGTTCAAAAATTTTTAAAAATTCTCGTCAAAATTTCAATTATTATAAGTATTTAGAAATAATTGAATTCTTCTCCGAAATTGAATTATTTTCACAAAATTTTTATAAAATTCTTGGCAAAATTTCAATTATTTTCAAAAATTTTCCTCAATTCAATGATTTTCAACACCTACTATTTTTATAAAATTTTCCAAAAGAATTCAATTATTTAAAAAAAATTCAAATAAAATTCTACGCAAACAATTAATTCTTTTCATAAAATAATAAAAATTTTACAGGCATTCAATTGTTTACGAATTTTTTGTCAATAATTCAATTATTTTTACAAATAATATAATTTTTGCAGGGATTCAATTATTTTCGTAAATATAATGAAATTCTTCATGGGAATTCAATTATTTTCATAAATAATAAAACTCATTGCAAAATTTCAATTATTTTTAAAACAATTTTAATTGAATTCCTCGAAAAATGTAATTATGGTTTAATATTTTATTAAAATTCGTCAAAAGAGTTCAATTTAAAAATTTGTTGCTAAAATTCTTTATGAGAATTCAATTTTAAGAAACATTCAATTATTTAATAAAAATTATTTGCTTTTGTATTTAAATAATTGAATTCTAGCTAATAATAATTGATTTAAACATGAATTTCAGTTAAATTTTAGATAATAATTGAATATTAAAAGCAATATAGTGTGAATTATTAGAAATAATTAAATATTGAAAAAGTTTAATTGAATTTTGTTGAAAGTATTTGAAGTTTTTATTTTTCTATAATATATATTTAATAGAAGAATAATTGACAATGAACTTTTTCGAAAATTATTAAAAA